GGGGAAGGTTCTGGGGAAGACGAGAATAAATCCACAAGTGGACCAGCGTGAGCAGGTGCAACAGACTGGACTCAGTCTGTTGCACCTGCTCACGCTGGTTCACTCGCTGATTTCTTCTCGTCTTCTACCCTGAAGATGGAGGCGATATGTTCCTCCGAAACGTCGGTTAACACAACTTCTACACAGCGCCACATCCCAGAAGATTGCTTCATAGTCACCGCCGTTAAAGCCTCAAACCTTACACCATGTATATAGACTTACAATTCAGTTGGGAAGAAGTTTCATTTATTATTGAGAATGTGAGACTATGGTAATCTTATGCTGTGTTCAAAGGACATTGTTGATTGTTAAATATATAAGTCTGGAAATGTTTGCAGTGTATCTCTTTGGTTCAGTTGTCCTAAAAACTGTAACATAAAAAATAGGTGTTGAACATAAAAGTGTTTTCTCTGCAACTGCATTCAAAACGTTTGCAATTCAGTATTTCATGAGATACATGCATGTAGGCCTTCGTGTAAAATATACTTTACTTTTGTTGAATTTTAATCAAAAGTGGAGTATGTCAACAAATGTTATTAAAACTTCCCAGTGTCAGGTTTCATGACAACCTAGTTCTTGAGTTTATTTCTGCAGGTGGATGGACAGTAGATGTACTGAACTTAATAGGTGCCCCACAGTGTTGCAGACATTCCTAAAAATGCACATCACTTGATCATGTTCATTGAATAATTCCTAAAAATGTTGAACAACTGCTGCATTTGAGGTTCTGAAGGTGTTTTTTATTTGTATTGTTAGCATCCTGTTGCGTGAATACAACTAACAATATTAATTTTACCAATTCAGCCATCAGTGCAACAAATGTTCAGTGATTTAAATCACACTACATGTTTTGACCCATAATGGGTCACCTTCAAGTTCGCTTAGATAACATGATTAATTATTGAATTGTAATGCATGATCTTGTTTGAATATTTCTTATCATTGCAAAAGTGTTAATTACTGTATTCCTAGTTTATAAACATAAGCCATTAAGTGTGTATATTATTACTGTTTACTTATATGCTGCTTATTTGATATTGAATTAAATTGGGGTTAGGTATGAGTTATTGCATAAAATTAACAATTTTTGAAAACAGTTAAAATGTTTAAAAATTGTTAATTTTACACAAAAACTTGTACCTAACCCCAATTTAATTCAATATCCAATAAGTAATATATAAGTAAGCAATAAGAAGCATACATAGAATATAGCTCCTTTATGGTTTATATATGTAAACTAGGAATATAGTAATTAACACTCACACCATGATAAGAAATATTTACACAAGATCATGCATTACAGTTCAATAATTAGTCATGTATTTTTAATTTTTTTATTGCTAGTGGGGTGGGACTAAGTCCCTTGTACTGCGGCCACTTCTGGCCTATTGTACCAGCCCCAGATGATAGGTGAGGGTGATTGTGGAGCAATTGGTGGAATGAAGATTGGCAGGGGAAACCGAAGTATTCGGAGAAAATTTGCCCAGCGCCACTTTTTCCACCACAAATCGCACTTGACCGGACCCAGGATTGAACCTGGGCCGCCACGGTGGGAAGCCAGTGACTAACCGCTTGAGTTATGGCGTGGCCCAGTTAATCATGTAACTAAGGGCACCTGAAGATGAGCCATTATGGGTCAAAGCATGTAGTGTGGTTTAAATTAATAAATACTTGTTGCACTGTCAGCTGAATTGTAAGATTAATATTGTTAGTTCTGAAGGTATGTTGGATGTACACCATGATAGTAAGACTCACAATTACCTGTGCTGCCATAATGTGGTGGTGTAGGGCCAAACAAAACCAGTAGTGTGGATCTTAGCAGGCTGTAGAGGCTGTCCTGTCTGGATATAACTGGAACCATGAGGGCAACTGCTACATCTGCAGTTGAGGTCCTCTTGGGTGTCACTTCAGTTGATCTGAAGGTTGGGGCTGAGGCTTAAGTAGGAATTTACAGACTTACCTGCAGTAAACAGTTAAGACCAAAACCTGAATGATACAGGCATGCCCATATGTCTTGCAAAATGAAGAAAGAGGTCCCTCATCCTACCAGTTGCAGACAACACAGTACCAAGAAATGTGTACAAAAACCATTCACAGTCATGTTTCCTGACAGAAGGTTTTTGGGCAGATGGGTTTCAACCTGACAGAAGTGGGAAACTAATGTAGGACCAGTCCATAGATGAGTTAAGGATAGGCACTGGGGCCAAAGTGTATGAAGCAGCTTATCTTCAGCCTTGGGCAATGCACCATGGTATTTCAGGCAGAAGTGTATGCCATCAAGATATGTGCAGCACAGAATATACAAAGGGGCTGTGAGAATAGGAGCATCTGTATCCTGTGAGACAGTCAAGCTGTCATCAGAGGACTTTGTAATTAATGATAAACTCTGAATTAGTTAGGGATGGACACTAGTGCTTAAAGATACTGGCTGAACATGTGACATAGGAGAATTGAAGGAAATGAGAGTACCATCAAACTGGCAAGAGATGGATCTGGATATTCATTTATAGGACCCGAAATGGCATGTTGTATTTTGTAGAGATTTGCCAAGTTAGCTGTTGGACAGAAATATGCAAAGGGCTTCCTTTGGTAACCCTCCACCAGTAGAACTAAGGAACTATTAGAATTAGTCAGCAACCAGTTAAGACATTTGACAGGACTAGTTAAGAGGAAACTCACTTCAAAAGATGTCTCACTTGTGAAATGTACCATGACAAAGATTGAGTAGTCACACATGTCCTGTGTGACTGTGACACTGCAGCTGAATTAAGATTCTGTAACTTGGGTCCCAATTTCATGAAGTATCAGAAGGCACAACTGAGCAAAGTACCGTATTTACGCATGTATAGGCTGCAGCACAATTTTCAGACAAATTATAGAAAAAATAATTTTCTTGGAATATTATTTCAGGAGTAGAACACCCCGTATTACTAATAATTTTTTTAAATGAAGTGTGATTTCGAATATTTCGAATATAAGCCGCACCCCAGTTTTCCTCTTGAATTTTTGGGAAAAAATGTGCGGCCTATACATGCGTAAATATGGTATTCCTGATGAGGTTATTGGATTTTTCAATTGACTTGATCCTTCCAGCTGCACTGATCCTGAGGTTGACTTAACCTCTAACAGAAATGAGTACCAGGAATCTTCCTGGGGGTAAAGGGTGGCTGGCATGTAAGCCTGACAACTTCACTGCCATCTGTGAACCGATTGTCTAAACAATGTGGGAGCCTTAGTGTCTCAACCCTATAAGCCTCCACAGCCTATTACAGGGATAGCTTTACCTTTTCTACCACTGCACATGGGTTTCTTTCACTGCTTGGAAAGATATTTGTCTCACTGCTTAGTGGCAAGTAGCAGGATCAGTAAGTAATAATTTAAATGACTTTCTGGGTTGAATACAAGGATTATGGATATTTTCAGGTTTTTGGATTATCTGCTGTTAATATCCGCCCTTCCATTATGGAAGATGGTAGAGATGTCACTGTAAGAAAGAATGGGGCATCTTTTTTTTATGAGAATGATACTTAAGCTATAAAATGTAATCATGCTTGGAGTGGAATTTTAGGTCACCCTAATTTGCAGTCCTGTAGAACACAGTCCTGTTTTCTTGTTTTTAATTACATCTGCATGGTTTACTGTGGATTGTGCATTTTGTAGCACCATTCCTTTAGTAGGAGTTGGCATATTTATAATCAGATGAGCAGAAGTACCTAACCTTTGTTGGGTATTGTTGCTTTCCTTGGCAGTGTCACAGTATGTAGTAGTTAAAACTCTAAAGAAGGAATAAGTGATCAGAAAATGAAAATTATGTGATATCATTAAAAAACAAGACGTTCTGGAGAGAACTACTTACCTGCTCCTTTCAGTGGGTAATGAGTATCAGATACTACACAGACTGCACAGAAAGTACTGTGTCCAACAGTTCTGTTCTTGCATATGTATTTGTTTGCCACAGGAATGTGTTTACTGAGCTGTTGCCTAGCAACGGTGAGGTGGAATACACAGACCACAGCAAGTTGTTCTGATAAGACTCCTTTTATTTTGTCAGAACAAGGAAAGTAGGCTAAAACAGTTTGGAAATGAGAATTCGAATTGGATCCCAAATCTCTACTGCAATACTTGCACATATCTTTAAGAACCGTGACTACTATATATATTGGCAAGAGTACAACATAAATTTCATAACATCTTTGGGTGTTGTGTGTTAGAGCCATGGTCAGAAACAGGATACAGACAGAGACTGATAGAACAGTTATGTATAATAGATTATCTCCACTCAGCCTCTTACTGAATGGGTACCGGTGGCTTTTCCCCCAACGGATAAAGTGGCTGAAGTGTGAAACTGACCACTCACCTCCATTTAGTGCCAAGGTCAAGAATGGTGGAACTGTAGCTCCACTCCCCTATACATCTTCCTGTCATGATGGTTAATTAATTAGCGACAGGGAAAGCTTTACCTGCACAGAAGTACTGTCACACGTAATCATCACCAGACATGTTGGTCTAGCAGTAACACTAGTCTTGTATTCAGGAGGTGCTTGATTCAAATCTCAGCCGGGTCACCTGCTATTGTGAGATTCTTTTGTGGTTTTCATCAGTACTTCCAGGCAGATGTTTGATAATAACTCAGACTATGATTGCTTTCCACCAAATCCTTTATGATATAACAGTCAGTGATCCTACTGTCTAATGTCATGTAGTCTCATAACCGAAAATATTGTTAGGTAACTCACAAAAAATCATCACATTTTCTTCAAGTCATAATAATATACTTACAGACTTCCTTTGAGTCTGATAAATTTATTGTTATGCTGAGTATGAAGATTTGTATCATGTTATTTGGAACTCTGTCAGTCCTGCTCTACATTATTGCCCTGATGTTTCTGATATGACATGAAATTTGAGAAAAAAAAAAGAAATACTGAAGCCATTTTGTTTTCTGGATTCCATTGTTGCAGGTATGAGGGTGTGCTGGGATTTTACAAAGGCCTGAGTGCTAACTTGATTCGTGTGACTCCAGCCACAATGATCACGTTCCTCGTTTATGAGCATGTCTCACATTTCTTGCTGAATTTTAGATCCCAAGGCTTGGACAGTGATACAACTTTACCATGCAGGAAATGATGAAATCACAAGTTAGAAATTTGGATTCTTTTTCAGTAGTAAATTTGCATATGATGTAGAAGGGGAGGAAATTATTATAATGGTGTATTTCAAATTTAGTTAATGCTAGTTGCCTGACAGATAATTCTGTTTTAGGTATCCGAACATTGGGAGACACTGTTGCAAGCATCGTTGTGTCTGGAAATTGAATGTATGTAATATTTTAGAGTTGAATCCTTATCAGAAGAAGCCAGGAAACAAGGACAAATATACAGGATTGTCTTATGCTGAAAAATGAAAGAAGCAGTGAAGGTTATGAAATTTTCTGTATGTAGAAAATGAAAGAGGAAAGTTATACTACTTAAATTCAAATTTGTACGTGGACCATTTTCTGTAGTGGACAATCTGAAAATATGACCTTGTCACCACAGCATGAATTAATTATTTTGATGGATCATTTAAGACAAGTTCCACAAATCAAGTGTTTCATTTAATTGTTCTTGCACAGTTTAAGAAACTTATGTATGTTTCTATGTACTGAGTATATTTTGTCTAACATGAATGGAAATTGGTGACCTCAAAAATACTTTTCATTCCTTTATTCTCTATTTACAAAGCCAAAATTTAATAATGAACACTGTTCTATAAGAAAACTATTATCAGTTGATTTCTTGTTTAATTTATCCACTAGCAGCACATTTAAGTTTTATGCTAGAAGATTAAAATGAGGGAACAATTTAGAAATGTATAATTTGTATGGTTCAGTGTTCAGGCACATATATATGTAGTATACACATAGAAGGAAGACTTTATTTCAATTCCATTTATTTTAAGTAAGCATGTAATAGCACAGTATTGCTCACAGATGGCAGAACAAACACTTAAAATAGTTTTGCATTTTGTGTAAAAGTACACTTGTCCAGTGACCATGGCCTGTAGCATGCATAGAATTGCTTATGGGTGCGCGTGTGTGTCTGCTGGTTCTATGTTGGGAACTCTGTCATCCCTTTTACTTCAGCATATTGAATTAATGTAATGGAGTTATGGATGTTCAGTTTATTAATGTCATTACGCAGAGAAAATGTGATAAATTTATTTTTTCCCTATCATCTTACATTAAATAATGCCACTGCCAGCAGTTTAATGTCCAAATGTGTGACATGCTCGCATAAAATATTCAGCAACTGCACATTTGTTTGTTTGCTTCAGCTGTTAGAAAAGCATCTGATGAACACAGATGCTCTTGTCTCATTTCCTATGGATACAATTTTGCACTGCTGGAACTCTTGAGGACTGTTACATGATTTTTTTATATTTTTGGTTTCAGCCCAAGTAGTAAACCTCTTCTAGAAGCAGTATGATTTTATTGCTTATAGCTATCACTGATAATGAGAACATATACTAGTTGGTTACCTCACCTTTCCATTAATGTACATCATTTATCAAGGATTACATTATTACATGAAGGAGGGTATAGCTGTGGTTTGTGCAGTTACTTTTATGTCAGGAAGTGTTTACTGTGTTGCCATTTCAGAAATAAAGATATTGTTTATTTTGACATGTCATCAGTAGACATATCGGTCTGATTGCTGAAATATCGTAATGCATTTATTGTACCAAATCGTTACACATTAAATTACATCAATGAACAAGATATGTTTAGCAGCACGTGTTCCTAACATGTTGCATTACATCATGATGCTATATTATATATTCCTTAATTGCAACTGTATGCTTCATTATGTTAACTGTTACAAAGTTGTATAATAAATATTGATGTTGTAACCTAATGACTCTGAATTTATTACAGCCGCTGTGACCATACCTGGAGACAGTAGGCATTGTCTTGTGTATATGTCATTCAGGAGCTGTGAAACAACCAATGTTTTACACTTTTTATTGTAACCAGACCACGGTGCATCTGCAAAGACTGCTATGTATTGAATTCAAATGGGACATTAACTTAAGAAGTAGAATTTGAGGTTCTCACAGTGGTGGTTATGAAGAGTTCTGTCCTCTGGGACATCATGCTGTGTAGCTTATATAGTCACAAGCTATGTAGCTTGTGTAGTCAGCAGACATATTGAAGGAACATGTTGACTCCATGTTCAGGGTTGAAGAATAAGCTAGGGTCTGGTTGATATCTGCCTCATGCTGGTTTCTTGCTTGGCTTAGTAATGGAATACATGACACTATATCCCAGAAGATAGGACTGTTCTATTAAGAAGGTTCAGACTTTTATTGCACCATATATTGTAAGTTTTATATTGCATGTACAAAAGTATTAATTGTTTAATTGAAAAGTGGGAATTCAGCAATAAGTATATTATAAGCTTCCTTTATCTTTTCTCCATTCCCACATATTCCATTCCCAGCCACCTTATATGTGTTAGTATACACGTTGAGTCCATCTAACAATTACTGCCATCTGTCAGTGAGAATTACATAAACACACTGGCACTCTGTTATGAACCGTTTCCTGTGCAAACGTCTATATCCATGGCAACCAGCTGAAAGATGATTTAGCCATGTATGGGGATGTAACTGAAACTGAGTCCAGGGTTTAGAAAATGACTGGCTGAAGGTCATCTAAAAATTAGGAAATATCATGTTAGTTTAATTAATACTTCCAGTTTGTTTGCTGACATACATTCATTTCATGGATGCTTACATGCTGGGTAAGTATATTTAGGCATAAAAGAAGGTAAAGCTATATCTATAACAGGCCTTGGAGGTCCATAGGATTTTGAGACGTTGAGGCTCCCACATTTTCTAGACAGTCAGCTCGCAGATGATGGTGAGGTGAGCCTTATGCACCGGCTGCTCTTTAGCCCCAGGAAGATTCCAGGTACTCGTTTCTGTTTGAGGCTGAGTTAACCCCCGGCCGTAGTCATACATATGCGTACATTTTAGGGGTAAAATATTCTTTTCATGCTCATAAATGATGGCAGATAGTCTTGGTGCAGGGATGTGAAACCTTTTTGCTAGCTGAGTGATATTTATCTCAAAAGGTACTTATCAACAAAAAGTGGTGACAATTGCCCTTACTGCTCCAGTACATCCTCATGGGCTTAATGTTGGACATTGATTCTTAGCTTGTATGTGGTTCTCAGATCAACACAAACAGCTTGAAGTTTGTTTGTGACACATTTTAAATTTAAGTACATATTTCATGCTTACAAGTAATCAAGAAGGCAATAATTATTTTCTTGTAACAGTCTTTTTCTGAGTGACCTCAATATTTGGAGCATATGAAGTGACAGTACTAGGGAATGTTATGATAAAATTATGGGTTTGTAGAATATTTAATTATCAAGTGACTAGAGATGTTAATGCAGACAAAACCTGTAATCACTGGTGCCAGACAAGCTACTATAGATCTGAAAGACTTGAGGTGCCAAAGAATAATCTTATATTCTTTTTCTTAAACGTATTTGAGGGTAGATCATACCTTGAATTGACAACATTATAGATGAGAAGTTGTTTGTATTCAACAAGATATGTGGTACGGCAGTTTTGGTTCTCATATACTGACAATAGAATCTAGTAAATTTATAGTGATGACATAATTCTCTGCATTACTACATGATGTTGACATGGCCAGATGGTTGTTTCAGATACCATGTAGTATGAGCTTGAAGTTGGGAGACAAAAAAAAACAAAAAACTATATGTTGTGCAAAAACTTTTCTGCAGAATCAGTATCATGAAACTTGGCATATCTGTAACCACCAACAGAGTATTTCTTGCAGCAGCAGTAGTAGTTGTAGATCGCTTGGGAAAGGTAAATGTACAGTTGCTTCTGTGTCTAAGCCACATGTCTGTAATGTATATAGGGAATGGAGGTTGAAATCTGTGTACCAGATTCTGGTGAGTGGCGATCATCACATAAGCAATGATTATATGCTGGGGAAATTTTCTCACAAACCATAAGGGTCCTCAGCCCTGTTGATTTTGTTGAAAAGGAAAACTTTCACATTGGTGATAGCACTGTAGGCAACCCGGTGCATGGCCATTGACTTGCAGAATTACCATATTTCAAGGTATTCCCTTCAACATGGAGAGCAGTTTTGAAAGAAATCATGAGGCATCTTAAGTCTAATTCATTAAATTTTGTTGTGAGTAATTAGTGCTGTTCCTCATCCCATGAGCAAAAACCTGGGACTCACAAAAGAACTTGCTTTGATAACATGAATTTACCGTTTATGAATGATTTTCCATCTGCACAGGTTATGCAAAGTCAAGCAAGATTTGGAGATGAGTGGTGAGTCAGGATGGACGACGAAGGATACATATGTAGCCTATTTGAAAGTGGGGGACACGAAATGTTACAGAAAACGTCAGGATAGCCAGTAACCTGGTCCAGATCCTAACCTTTTGAGCATGTGAATAGAATGTTAATGCTACAACATGCTGAACTCTAAAATATATTTTACTCTCACGGCATTCTTGTTTCACCTCAGAATTAAGCAGTAGTAGGATCTGGTAGTTCAGCATTACTAAATAATAATGGCCATCATTGAACATGAGTCTGTCAGGTAAAATGATCCACCTGTTCACTGTTCATCAATGTTTTGGCTGAAGAATATTCGAATTTTCTTCATAGAAGAAGTTTTTAAAATAGCACATATTCTTAATATTATATTAAAGAGTTTTTTAAAATATTGGGCGGAAGTTGGCCTTATAATGTAGCCCCTAGATTCTAAACCGTTAATAACATATATAAGCGTTTCATAAATTATGTGACCCTGGTACGTTCATCACTAATTTCATGCACAATTTCGTGGGTGCATCAAAAGTGTATTCATAAACAAGTGTTTTCCCGCCAACATTGGTGCTGCCGCCATCAAAGAATTACTATAAACATAAGAAGATGGCCAAGCGATGGTATTTGCGTCATTAAAAAATGGTCACATGGGATCAGCTGTGGCGTCTGCTGCTATTGCTCGGCGTTATTCTCGTGATAGAAAAATAAATCAAATTGAAAGTGATAGTGAAGAATATTTTCACAGAGGAAAGGAGTGCCATTCACTTGAAATGGTGAGCATATATCATTTTGTGGTATTTTTTATACTGTGGCATATGCACACATTAGCCTGATTATGCGATCTGTTAAAAATGTTTGCTAGGATAGTCAATGGCGGGGGAAATCATTATTTCAAACGGAAGTATTGATGTTACGAAGGTTATATGTCTGTAATCAAAGTAATAATAAGATAATCACATATTATTTTACTCGCATTTATATTTATGCTCATTATATTTTACAGTTTGGCCTCCAGATATACTCATATTTTTAATTAGAATTGTACATAAATTACTTACATTGAAATTACAAGATCGTCTAGTGTCACGAACTGATGTGTGTAAATTGATTGAATTCTATAATTTTTGCCTAACATGAAGTTCCGTTTGATACTACTGTTCTGGTATTTTGTCATTTTGAATTATTACAGCACATTTATTAACTTACATCCTTAAGAGTGACTGAGTGAAATGCTGCTTCAGAATTTGCAGCGTGCCACACCCGAAATATTCAAATGTTGTGATTTTTTAATCATCTTTGTCATGATAGAATTCCCACAGGACGTTGTTAATGAATGTTCCGGCCTTTGCAGTTTCTGTATGCTTTGATTGGAGGGATCCAAGAATCGTTATAGAGGGTTATCTTGTGTGGTATTATGTCCGAGGAGAGTGTCCCATTGGTGGGACTTGACAGCCGAGCAGGACATGAGGTCTCGAAAGTACTCGTCACGAAAAATTCAGTTACACAAAAGCTTTCCTGCGCTGGGACCGTGTAACTTTATATATGCCTATGTGCGAGCCACTGTTTTGTTCTTTTGATAGGTCCTACACGGCGGTCCCATAGAGCGGAAATTTTCATGAACATTGCCGCCGGGTAAAAATAGAGGAAAATTAAAGTTTTGTTTGAAATTAACTGTGAGGGCTGTCAGAAAACGCACTCTATCTTGTAGGCAGGAGTGTCCTCCTCAGATGTTGCTGCCAATTCAGTGAGAAAAAGTACGGCCATGTAAGGAAACACTGTAAAGTTGGTTATTTTCTTCATACGTTTTTCGTGTATATTGACATTTGACAGCTAGCCGTTGGTGCACTACTTCTAATTATTTCTTGTAACATATAAAAATACAATGTTTAAGAAATTCCCAGACTCGCTAATCCCTCAATCACTTAAATATTGGAGAAATGTGCTAATTTATGTTAAGACACTTCTGTTGTAGAATGCAAGACAACAACATGGCCGGTGTTTTCTTGTCCTACGACTATGTCGCAAAAATGTTCACTTTAAGGCCCAGCGTTACCTAGAGTGTGGGGACAGAAAAATTCGAAAATCGTTATGGGCAATGTCATAATTTGGTGATTACTTTCCCGAACGACTAAAAAATGACCAGGAGAAATATAAATCAATTTTATTACTTGAAATGATGCGTATAAACATCGGAAAGAGCTTGGTTCAGTCACTATGCCACAAACCGGAAGGTCGCGGTTTCGGTTCCCGATGTCATTGCATTTTTCATTGACCTAATCCTTCCAGCGACCGCCTCTGTGGTCTAGTGGTCAGCGTTCCTGGCTACAAATCCAGAGGTCCAGGTTCGATTCCCGGCGCTACCAGAATTATTCTGAGAAGTAGTGGTTCTGGAACGGGGTCCACTCAGCCTAATGAGTATAACTGAGGAGCTANTCGTTGCGCTGACCACGCGACACCCTCTATCCGCAAAAGTTGGCACTAAAGTTCGCCGACGAGCGGCGATCGCTCGCTTGTGGACTAAACTCACGGAGTTTCTCAGCACTATGGCCCTGGGGTCGACTCAGCCTCTAACAGTAATGAGTACCAGGAATCTTCCTGAAGGTAGAGGGCGGCTGGAGCGTAATGCTGACAACCGCACCGCCATCTGTGATCCGATTGTCTAGAAAATGTGGGAGCCTCGACGTCTTACGCCCCGATGGGCCTCCACGGTGTGGTAATTTTTTTTTAAATTCCCTTAGTGGGGGTGGAGTCCAGCTGGGTCCACTCGGCACGGCGGCCACTGATTGTCCTGTTGTATACCTGCCCCGGGTGATTATGATGATGGAGAATTTGGTGGAATGAAGGTTGGAAGTGGAAACCCAAGTACTCCGAGAAAACCTGCCCTAGCGCCACTTTGTCCACCACAAATCCCACTTGACCACACCCCGGGATCGAAACCGGGCCGCCGTGGTGGGAAGCCAGCGACCAACCACTTGAGCTATGGTGCGACCTTCCACGGGCTATTACAGGGATAGCTTTCACTTTTATATTAGCTACTTATAGCAT